AAGATGGTCTGGTACACCAGCCTCTTTAAGAACTTGCCACAATTTGTTGTGATCCACACAAACAAAGGCTTTAGCCTAGTCAATGAAGCAGAAGTACAGTGGTACCTTGGTTCACGAACTTAATCCATTCCAGGATTCTGGTTGTGACCCAAATTGGTCATGATCCGAGTCAAATTTCCCCATAAGGGTAAATGTAAATAGGGGGGAAGGAGGAAGCGCATGGTGGGGCAGGCATGTGCAGGGGACAGGCATGAGCGTGCGGGGGGAGAGGCAGGCGCAGGTGCGCTCAGGCAGGGAACACGGGCATAATCGTGCCCATCTCCCCCACCCCATAGCACTACCGTGATCATGCCCGTGCAGGGAAGGTGGGCAGGCTCATGATCACCTGATGCAGCATTCATGACCTGCAGCAAAATTTTTATGAAATTTCTGTTCGTGACCTGATTTGGTCGTGAACTGAGACATTTGTGAGCCAAGGTACCACTGTAGATGTTTTTCTGGAACTCCCTAGTTTTTCCATGCTCCAGCGTATGTTGGCAATTTGATCTCTGCCTCTTCAAAGCCCTGCCTGTACTTCTGATAGTTCTCGGTCCACATACTGCTGGAGCCTAGCTTGTAGAATTTTGAGCATAACTTTGCTAGCATGTGAAATGAGTGCAATGGTGTGGTAATTTGAACATTCTTTGAAACTGGAATGTAAACTGACGTTTTCCAATCCTGTGGCCACTGCTGAGTTTTCCAAATTTGCTGGCATATTGAGTGTAGCACTTTAACTGCATGTCTTTTAGGATTTTGAATAGCTCGGCTGGAATACTGTCTCCTCCACTAGCTTTGTTGTTGCTCAGACTTCCTAAGGCTCATTTGACTTCACATTCCAGGATGTCTGGCTCAAGGTGTGTGACTGCCCCATTGTGGTTATCAGGGACGTTAAGATCTTTCTTGTATAGTTCTTCTGTGTAATCACTGATATGCACCAGTAGCCAAAGACTATTTGTGATATGGTCTTTGGTGCTGCTTCCTTTTCAGAATCCATGTTAAATATCAGGCATTTCTCATTCCATATATGATACTATTCTTTGTTGCAACAGCTTGAACATCACTTTGCTAGCATAACAAATTAGTGCAATGGTCCTATGGTTGCTGCATTCTTCTGAATCTTCTTTCCTGGGTTCTGGAATGTGCATGGGGGAGGGGTGGGGAGGGAGTGAGAACATTTCCTGCTTACATCAAGCTAGCATGTCAAGTCACCTTTGATAAGCCAGAAAGGCATGGGCCTGCAGCTGGATAGCTGAATGCAGCTGGAAGCAGAGTAGGAGTGGGGGTTAGATTCAATGACCTTCTAGGTCCCTTCCAACTATGCTACTATTCTTTTTCCAGTCTATGGAACATTGTTTTGCTTTCCATATTTGTTCACATATTCTTGTTAGGATTTGGACCAAGTCATTCTTTACAGCTTGCAATATTTCTGTTGGGATCCTGTGTACTATAGGTGCCTTGTTCCTTCCAAGAGCTTTCAGATCAGCTTTCACTTTCCTTTTTATTATTGCAAGTTCTTATAGAATTTCTCTTTCAGGAAGTCCGTCATCCTTTCCTCTCTTCTGTATAGTTTTCTGTATATATTTTCCACCTTCTTTTTATTATCCCTTGGTCAGATAGTTTATCTTTTTTTGCCTTTTAACATTCCTAATCTAGATTTGAATTTCCCATTGATTTCTTGGATCTTCCAGTCTCTTATTTTCCTGTTCTCTTCTATTTCTTTGCACTGATCACTGTAATAGTTTATTTTGCCTCTTTATGATAACCGCTTAAAAGTTGCATTCAGGATTCTGAGCCTAGTCACGTTTGAATATGTCCAGTTCTCTCAATCTTTCCTCATAGGGCTTTGTTTCCAGTTCCTGAATCATCCTTGTTGCCCTCCTCTAAACTTTTTCCAGCTTGTCTGCATCTTTTTCAAACTGTGGTACCCAAAAATGGACACAGTACTCCACATGAGGCCTGACCAGTGCTGAGTAAAGGGGAACTAGTATTTCACAGGATTTGGAAGTGATATTTCTATCAATGGGACTGCAGGTGGCGCAGTGGTTTAAACTGCTGTGCTGCTGGGCTGGTTGATCGAAAGGTTGCCGGTTTGAATCTGCACAACGGGGTGAGTTCCTGTTACTCTGTTCCAGCTCCTGCCAATCTTGCAGTTCGAAAGCATGCAAATGCAAGTAGATAAAAAGGTACCACTTCGGTGGACAGGTAACAGCATTCTGTGCACTTCAGTGTTTAGCCATGCCGGCCACATGACCATGGAGACTGTCTGCAGACAAACGCTGGCTCCCTTGGCTAGGAAACAGAGATGAGTACCACCCTCTAGAGTCAGGCATGACTGGACTTAATGTCAAGGGGAAACCTTTACTTTTACCTATTTCTATCAATGCAAACTAAAACAGCATTTGCCTTTTTTGCAGCCACATCACATTGTCCACTCATATTCAGCTTGTGATCCACAACAATTCCAAGATCCTCTCACTTGCAGTATTGTTGAGTCAAGAACTTGACATTTGTCCATATTTAAATTCATTGTTTTTAGCCCAGTACTCCCACCTTTCAAGATCACTTCAAATCTTCCTTTCAGGGTATTAGCAATCCCACCAAGTTTTGTGCCATCTGCACATGTGATAGGCATTCCCTGCACTTTGTCATCTAAGGCATTAATAAAATGCTGAAGAACACTGGGCCCAGGACTGAACTCTGCAGTACCCCACTTGTTACCATTCCCTAGTTTGAGAAGGGGCATTGATGAGTACTCTTTAAGTCTAATTCTATAGCTAACTAGAGATCCACCTGATTGTTGTTGCATCTAACCCACTGTTAGTTAGTTTGCTAATCAGGAGATCATAGGACACTTTTTCAAAAGCTTTGCTGAAGTCAAGACAGATTATGTCCACAGCATTCCCACAGTTCATCAGGGAAGTTATACAGTCCAAAAATGACAGCAGATTTGACTGGCAGGATTTGTTCTTGAGAAACCCATGTTGATTCTAGTAATCACTGCATTGCTTTCAAGATGCTTGCAGATGGACTACTTTATAATCTATTCCAGAAATTTTGAGCTGCCACCCTACTCCTTTAGCTTGTACTTTGCTTTCATCAGGAAGATCATAGATATTCCTCTGGGAGAAGAGTGAGCCCAAGTAGTAATTGTGCACTTCTGCCTTTTGTCCTTTCTCATTTTGCCAACCACACTGAATAGTTGAACCCCCCTCGAACGGATGGTCACTTTCCTCCAGAGCTCCCATAGCTAGCACTTTGTCCACTGCATCTTCCCTGTTGGTTAGTATCAAGAATACCTACATTTCTTCCTACATTTTTTTCGGAAGACTGTTTTCAGGCACTGTTACAGCTGCTCCCTCTGCTGTGGTGCATAAGCCTTGGTCTGTTGTTACATACAGGTGTACTTCTCCCTCCTCTGTAGATTCAGTTTATAGCCCTCCTGATAAACTTCATGCCGTGGTCAAACAACTTCTTTCCAGTCCATGTAAGGTGAACCCAGCCCTTGCCTGTAGTCTGTGGTTCCAGAATCCATATTGCTCACATCACCACCACCTTCATAGCCAGGCATCTCCTTGGAGTATTCGTCTTTCCATGTCTTTTCCTTTTCCAAGAACTGGATGAATTGAAAATTATATGGGCCCCAAAGTTCTTGACTTTTGTCCCTAAAGCTTTCAAGTCAGATGTGATTTCTTCACATCTCAATTTGGCAATGTCATTTTTCCCCACATGGATACGAAGGAAGGGATATGTGTCAGTGGGCTGTTATGAGCCTTGGCAACCTTTCAGTTATATCATTAGTCTGTCCTCCAGGAAAACTGCATGCCTGAGGAGTCCATGGGTCTTCCTGACAGACATGTTTCCATCCCATCCAACAGGGACTATCCCACAGCTAATATTCTTCTTGTTCTTGCAAGCCTTGGTATCATTGCTAATACTTGGCTGTCCATTAGCTTCTTGTTCAGTGTTGCATGGCATAACTTGCAGTTCTTCCATAGCAGGCTGCCCTCCAGACTCATACTTGAATAAATGAAAGTGGTTTCAGTTCCACTGCTTCCATTGGTGCAGAGTATCTTCGAAGTTCTTCTGCACCTGCCACTCTTTTCCAGGGATTTTCTTGTTTTCCCTTCCCTTAAGATTCTCTTTTGCCTGTCCACAACGTGCACCTTAACCAACAGCAATGTTAGATGTAAATTGCAATTATGATTTCACATTTTTGAGGCAGACTCCACTACCTATCAAAAAACAGTGGTTTTTCTCCCCATTTTTTGCATTACTTTCCTCCCCTCCCCTCTAAGAACCCCTAACTTTGAGGGTTCCTAGAAGGGAGGGGAGGAAAGCACTTTACACACCCTCAGAAGCATTAATTAAACAAACATTGATAAGTAAATTCTATGGGGCACTGCAAAGACGTCGCCTTTTCCCTCAGGATGAGGCCATTCTCCCACCTTCGTCTCTCAGTCTCTCCCTCACGCGCGCCAAACCCTTTCCCGCCAGTTTCCCTATGCGCATGCGCCAGTCTTTGCTCCTCGCGCAAAGTTTGACCCCTGCAGGGAAAAAGGGAGTGGGGAAAGGGAGCGATCTCTTATCGCGAGGTTTCCCCTCGTTTCTCTGTGCCAGACATTCCTCCCGCTGAGGCGGAGCCAGAGCCGACCAATTGCAACAGCAGTCTCCCCTAGCACGCTCGCCCCGCCCTCGAGGACTCTCTCCCTCTCCCACCCGCATCGCATGATCTCAAAAGAAGTAGGGACTGCGCTTTGCTCGGGCACCCCCATACACAGGGGAGGGGCACGCCCCGGAGCATCCCTCGCGTAGTGGTGAAGAGAGGCGGTTTCTACCTCTCCGAGAGCACCAACCAATCGTGGGGCCAGGTTGTCTGTGGTTCACGCGCGCCCCGAAGCACCAGCCAATCGCGGCGTGCCTGGCACGCGCGCACCAGCGGCCGAGCCACTCCCCCTCTCTTTATCCGGCCTCACTCGCTCTACTGTCTTCCTCCTATCAGGGCTGGGCTCGGAGGTTCCGTAGGCCTCACGACTAGCCTCGGCCTCGCGTAGCGCGCCGAGCCGGGCGATGACGGCGCTACTGTCTCGGCTCCTCCTGAGGCGGATCCCGCGCTGAGGCCGAACGGAGCGGAGCATTGCCCGCCACCTTCATCCTCCTTGCCACCCTTGCCGCCGTCATGCCGGCCAAAAGGAAGCTGGTGCCGCCGGCCCTCAACATTACCCCCACCATAGCGGAGGGGCCCAGCCCCACTGGCGGGGAGGGCGACGGCTCCGAGTGAGTGGCGGAGACGGGAGGAAGGGACCTGTGTGGAGGGATTCTCGGGGGCAGCATCAGGAAGGCAAGGCTTATTGGGGGGGGGGGGGGGGGGGGGGGGGGGAGGTGGGGGGGGGGAGGGGGGGGGGGAGGGGGGGGAGGGGGGGGGGGGGGGGGGGGGGGGGCAGGAAAAGTGATAACTTTAAAGGAGGAAATCCATTTATAGGTGTGGAGGAAGAGAAAGAGGTTGGTGGAGTTGCGTGGCTGCGGGACAGCTGTGATTGCTGATGTTAATAATGAGGGTATTAGGTGGTTACAGTGAATGTTGAATATAACAAAGGGAAGGCGTTCAAAAGTTATGAGGGAACATAAGAGGCATTTAAAGGGGTTCATGTATGGGATTGGAAGGGGGTTGCTGAGGATACTTATGCACATTGCTGTTGATCGTTTAAAAATTATTTGGAGGTTGGGGTTGTTGAATGGTAGAAGTTGGAAAGTATGGAGGAAGCAATGAACATGGAAAATGTAGCGGAAAGAAATGTTTTACTTTATTTACTATATGTATATTTTGCCTTTTTTCTTGTGAGTGTTCCTAGGTAGCTTGTATAATTCTCTACAACAGGATGAATCCTTGCAACAACAGTTCTGCAAGGTAGGGCAGACTGAGAGTCAGGTACAGCTGCAGAGAGCTTGATGGCCAAGTGGGGACCAAACCCAAATCTGCCAAATCCTGGTCCACTGACTCACCATTGTTGTGATGCAGGGGATGCTTGGAGTATTTAAATAAGATGTGTGCATACAGGTGAGGAAGGGTCTGTGAGAGTTTGCAGATTATTCTAATAGGTGTCGATGTTTAAAAGCTGCTGTTTCAAAGTTGAACAGTGTTAAGTGTTGGGGGTAGGATGTTCAGAGGAGATGAATGGATGAGAGAGGCAGTTGAAAGATCATTGTGGAGGGTATGAAGTACTTGATAAGGCCATGCAGTTGAGGGAGAGGCAGCTGCAAGACTGGGAGGACATGCAGTATTTCATAGAGGTGTAAGGTTGATTGGGGAGAGCTGTGGGAGAGAGGAGGGTTGGGCTGACATCAGGTTCATAATTTTGTTAGCAGTGTTAATCATTTTGTCACATCAGCATTGGTGGTTTTATGCTGAGGTGGGTGTTATGGGAGTGTGAGGACTCAGTGAAATGAGGTGGCTGAGATTGTCCTATTACTGATATTATAAATGCTATTATTAGGTGCCTGTTTGTCATAGGTGTTGAATGTACGTAAGCGGGGAAACAAAAAGGGGCATAAAGGAAGATGGGGGAAGGAGCTGAAAAGGAGATGGGAAGACACAAAGCATTGAAAAGGTGATCCATGTTTGGGATTGGGGAGGGGTTTGGGGAAAAGAGAGCTTGAGATGACAGAGTTCCTAGTGCCACTGTCATTTCATGTAGTACCATTGGTGCATTTGGTGTGTATTATGGGAGCATGGAAAAGCAGGGAAGCAGTGCGCAGGAGGCATCTGCTAGAGGTGAAGAGAGAGAACATGATTAGCTGCACAGTTTGGGCTGTCCATCATTTGTTTACTATCATGAATAGGGTGGGATGGGTGTTGGCAGCAAGGGCAAGCAGGAAGCTTTTATTTGGGGATCTTTGGTACTCCTTTCTCTAGTTCTTGAAGGGACTCTTGGGCAGCCTACAAGAGTGTTTCTAAACCACAACTGTGTTTTGGTCTGTATATTTAACAAAGCAAGTCTTTTTTTCTAAAGCTATGCTTCCCGCCCCCTATATGTCAGTACATCGTGCATCCAGTGAGGCAGAAAGTAGGGGGCATTATATCAAAGCAAGACTGGAACTTCCCTGCACGTGAATCCAAGTGGGATTGGGGATTCAGTTTCATATAGTTGACATGGTGCTAAGTTACAGTCTAAATAAAAGTACAAACAAGTTTCCACAGAATGAACCAGGGCAGATTATGTGGGGAGTGTCACTGGATGAGAGAGAGGTGAGGGCACTGAGCACAACATAGCCTTCTCCATGTTTAAGGCCGATTGCGTTCAATGGAGATTACTCCCAAATGTGTGCTCATAGGTCTACAGCCTTGAGAAAAGAGGCTTGTATGGAAGTGGAGGTTGAGAGGTGGTCTGGAAAAGGGAGTGGAGTTTGTGCTGAGTTAGCATTGGTAATTTAAGGGTACCTCTTTTTGTTGTTACAATTAGAACAGTTCATGTTGAAATTTTGTATTTTTATGAATAGGGTAGGATGGCTATTATATGCTAAGAGGAACCAAGAAGGAGGCAATCCACTTAGGGTGAGAGTGCAGCTGGAGATGTGGGAACCTGAGACATCCATGCCGTCTTATGCAAGTTTAGACAGAAAAAGGTACAACCACCAGCATTCCTCAGTCAGCCATGCTGGAATGCTGGGAGCTATAGTTTTTTAAGGACTGAATCCTTCAGGGACAGAATCTGTAATTGGAAATAGGTTTGGGGGAAGGAATGGGTTGGTGCTAGAGGGAGGGAGGACCTGGGTTGAAAAAGTGCTACGCTAACATAGCCATGATCATTGCTGTTGAAATTATGCCATGATTAATAACATTAGTAATAGGATGTAGGTGGATGGCTCAGTGTTCTAGAATTGGGAAAGCAAGGGATCTTGCTGTGTGGAAGTGTGAAAATTTGTGTGGGCGCCATAAAGCATTTAAAGGTGGCATGTATGTATGATGGCAGCATCTGGAGAATAAGCTGCAGAGTGTGGCGAAGATGGGCAAGTGATAGCTAAAATTAATAACAGTTATATCAAGCAGCACTTGTTACAAAGCGGTAATGTAGTTACACTTTTATCCTGCCTTTCCTTGAAGGATTGAGGTTGCCTTTCTCTCTTCTGCTTCTTTCTACCCCCAATTTGTTTTTACAGCAACCCTGAACTAAAAGATGCTAAGAGAGGGTGGTTTGTGTGGAAATAGTTGTATGGACTGACTCTGTGTGTGTGTGTGTGTGTGTGTGTGTGTGTGTGTGTGTAGGCTAATGACTCCTTGGTGCAGCATTCCCCAACTTGGAACCCTCCAAATTATTTGAATTGCAAGTCCCATAATGCCCAGTAATGCTGGGAATCCTACACTTATGCACAGCACCAGGTTGTGAAGGTTGCCTTAGCACTGTACCACACAGGTAGGGCATGGCACCATGAGGGCAATTAACAGATTGGAAGTTGTTATAGGAATGCATAAGAAGATAACTGGTAACTGTGAGAAGACGTGGGGTGTATACATAGAATGGGAGATTTGGGGATTATGTGGTGAAGAGGGGAATGGGGTCTTGGGTGGAAGAGGGAGTGAGGCAGGGGTGGAAGGAGGAGTGGGATTTCAGTGGGACATGGGGGTGAGCAAAGGCAAAAGAGATATGACATCTTTGGTTCAGAGAGTGATTGGTAGTGGAGAATACAGTATGTGGGTGGGCAGAATTAGACACTTACTATCCATGCATGGGAAGCAAGGGATCTAGTAAGCTATTTGGTGGTCAGGCATGGTGAGTTAGGAGCCCTGGAAAACTGTGGAAAGAGGCTTGGAGCAAGGGAGGAATGATTTGAGGAGCCCTGTGTAGGGCTGAGGCAGGCAGAATAGGAGAGCTGGAGATATGCGGGATGATGGACAATATGTAGTGATGGGGGTGGCAGGGTGAGCATTATGTTATCTACGTTCATAATGGATTTTATGTGGAAAGAAGGGTGGTTACAGGGAACTCTGGGAAATGTTACAACCTAGGGATGCCCAGCCCCTCAGTTTATTATGGGGTTTGGATCAGAACCCTGCTTTGTCTATCTCTGCAAGCCAGAGTTGGAACTGACATTTTAACCATGGCCAGGGGTAGCCAATCCACTGGAAACTGTTGAGGTGGGGAAATGCATGACGAGCAGTAAATGTGCCATAATGTGGAGCCATGATCATTTGATGTTTAGGTGGAGGAATACTGTATGGAGGTTGGAGCCTAGGGGAATCTGAGGGATGTGTAGGATGCAGCATTCAGGAACAGAACCCTGGGATCCACTGCAGACATGGTTTGGAGGTTACTGTCTGTCATTCTCATTCAGTTTCTTAGCTTGTGTTCTTTTTGGAAAAATGCTTTATTTTAATTTTATGCTGATGCCTTTAAGGTGTCCTGGTGTTGTGTTTATTTATCTAACTGTTAGATGGGAACAGATAATAGTATTGGCAGTTAATAGCAAGATGACAAAGACAGGAAAAAATGACAGTGTCAAAATAATAGGAGAATTAACAACAATCCAGCCCATTGCACCCTGCTCTACATTGTGGATTTTGTGGGGCTTATCAGGCAAATATGTATAGATTCCAGAGGTCCAGAAGGCAGTTAACTTAATGAATCTCAGGAGCCATTCCAGTGGTAAGGGCCATTCTTCGAATATTTCCCCCATCTAAACTTTGCATATGATTTAATGTTATATATGTTTTTCATCTGCATCATGGTTATCTTTTATCTAGTGATTAGGCTTGGCTGGCCAGAAGCCACATGTAGAAAGTTGCTGAAGCCATGCATAGGCCTGGAATGGGCATGTTGAGATGAGGGTAAGAAGAGAAGACCTCCCCAGTCCTTACGCATAAAATCACTGAGGGGATGAAGGGCAAAGGAGGCAGCTTGCATGGAGCGGGGGTTGAGAGGGAAGTACTATCAGTTGAACAAACAGGGCAGCCTTGAGACATTGATGGAAGGGGCAGGTTGATAACTATATGGGGCTTCAAGAGGCTTGTGAAAGTAGATGCTGATGGAAGGGAACCAAGGATGGGATGGAAGGTGGAGGGTTATGTTATGTAGGCATGAGAGACCAGGCATTCTGATAGGGTACTTGGGAGAAAGCACAAGGTGTCAGAAAAGAGAGCACAGTTTGGTTCTGATACCTGCTTTGAAGGATCAGATCTTGAAGGTGGCCCATGAGGGCTAACATACAGTAGTGGAAGTAGGGAATGAGAACTGACAAGAAAGCTCAGGAGGGTGGAAATGGAGTTGTAATCTGCTTCTTGGGGAAAAAAATCAATTTACACAAAGGCTTTTCTCTCGTAAGCTTAACAGAATACAGGAGGAACATACTGTAAGATCACTTTTAAGGCCTTTGCACAATTATTCGGGATGAGGCAGTTCTGCTGCAATTAGTTTACTTCAGAGAATAGAGAGAGGTCACCAACATTCCTTCTCTTTGCTGGTGACATCCCTGTAAGAACAGTTTTAAACACACTGAGAGTATGCCTTAATCCCTGCAAACTAGTAGCAATAATTTAGAAGTCAGCTATGTACAGAAATAAGAAGTATTTAAGGTCTCCAACACCAGGTACTGGGGAGCCATGGTGATTTGGAATGGATTCCCTTGGTAGTTTATGTGCAGGCCACATGACTTGATACCTAGCTTGCAAATAACTGCACTTCTTGAATGGTGGTTTATGCAGTGGGACTATTAGCAGCTCCAGTAGTTGCCTTCTTCTGTTCTTCAGAGCACATCTAGTTGACCTCCAGAAGAAACTGGAAGAGCTGGAGCTGGATGAGCAGCAAAGGAAGCGGTTGGAGGCTTTCCTCACTCAGAAAGCCAAAGTTGGAGAGCTGAAAGATGATGACTTTGAGAGGATTTCGGAACTGGGTGCTGGGAACGGCGGAGTGGTCACCAAAGTACAACACAAACCCTCAGGGCTAATCATGGCACGGAAGGTGAGGTGTGGGGAAGGAGGAGGATGAAGTCTCTTCTAGTGTAACCAAATATTTTAGGGCATCAGTAGTGAGCTGGAAGGGCAAGAGGTGATAATGCTGCAGCAGTAAACATATGACGTGGTGAGAGTTCTCTGGCATCGAGTGAGGCTACATTCATTAAAAGCTTTTCTATCCCATCCCCTACAGTTTGCATGGAATGACAGCCCACAAGCTGTCAAGGGTGAGTGGGAAAGGTTGCATGTGCCACATGCATCATGCCAGCCATTTCTGCTTTTATGCTGTGACCTATGGACAGTTGCTGGGCGTGTCATGCATACTTGGAGCCCTGGCTTCTCTACAGGGCTCTGTGCAACTCAGTTACATTGAGCCGCAGGACATGCGAAGCAATAGTGAAATACCTCTTGGAGCTCCTCCGTGTGCCCTTTACCCCTTGACTTTTCCTCCTCCTGCTTCCTTTGTGCAGCTGATTCACTTGGAGATCAAACCTGCCATCCGGAACCAGATCATCCGAGAGCTCCAGGTGCTTCATGAGTGCAACTCCCCGTACATTGTGGGTTTCTATGGCGCCTTTTACAGTGATGGGGAGATCAGCATCTGCATGGAACATATGGTGAGGCTATGTTTCCTCAGACTCTTCCTTCTGTGATAAGGGCTGTGGGAAAAGTGCCACATTTTGACTCCTTGTTCAGCTTCTCCCAGCCAGATACTGCAACCAGCATTACCCTTATACAGCACTACAGGAGCTGAAGTCCAGCAGGTCTCGAGGGCATTCGGTTGGAGAAAGCTTCTGTAGTGCCCACCTGTGCATGTAAAACTGGCGTATATTGAAATGAATATATAGTAATTCTGATAGTTTATCTTTAATTGGTGATTCTGCATTAACTTCCTGTTGCTTCCACTTTAGGCTCCAATCTTCACTATTAAAGATGTGCTGCTCCTGAATATATACCTTCTTCTGCCTTGCTTTTCAGCTTCATAGATCACCGAATGTCCCTTTTTCTTTTATCCTGTCTGTGATCTTTTGCCATTGCATTCCTAATGCCTGGCATCAGTGCTTCCTAGGAGCCAGCCTCATGCACAGTGTGTCTGTTTTGAAATCATAGAATGATAGAGTTGGAAGGGGTCAGAAGACCATCGGGTCCAACCACCTCCCCAGTGCGGTACTCCCAAGTCAGACCATCTCTTTCAGATGGCTGCCCAGCTGCATCTTGAATGCCTCAAGGATGGGAAAGCCCACAACCTCCCTAGGTCGCTGGTTCCATTGCCACATTGCTGTAAGAGTCAGGAAATTTTTCCAGATACATAGCCAGAATCTGGTTTCCTATAATTCGAGCCCCTTATTTCAGAGATCCTGTCCTTCCTCATTGTAACAACCTTTCAGGTACTTGCAGAGTGCTATCCTATTTCCTCTTAGTCTTCTCAGGGATAGACATGCTCATTTCTTTCAATCTTCTGCAAGTTTCAGTTTAGTATGTTGGTAGTGACCTCCAAAGCCCTAAAATAATCTGTTTCTTGTGGGAGGAGTTGTTCCCATATGAACTCCCCTGAAGAGTAATGATCAGCTCAGGAGGCTCAGCTTCAAGAGGAAAATCCACCTCTGCAAGAACTGGGACTTCTTCAGTTGCCTGTTTGAAGCTGTGGAACGTGCTTCTGTGGGCTGTTCACTTAGTCCATGACATCTTACTGATACGTGTTTGCTGTGTTTTCAATGGTTTGTGCATGATTTTATTTTAGTTTTTTCTAATAGCATGGCTTGGCCGTGGACTCAGGGCAATCAGAAGTACATAAGACAGCACTTGTGCAACGGGTTGCCACAGGGTGTTAGGATGGCCCCTGGCTTATGTGACTTTAAAAGGGAATCAGAGAAATATATGTAAAGTTTCAGTGGTGATGAGTCACTGATGTTGGCTTTATGGAATTTACAGCAGAATCAGAAGCAGCCCATTTGCTGGGGAGCCGTGGCTAGAGAGAATAGTTGTCTTCTAGCCCTGTTTGGGGCAGCCAGCTGGTCACAACAAAGACAAAATGGCAAGATGACCTGATCTTGCCAGTCTCCTGGCTGCTTAATAAAAGTTGTGAATCAGGCCACCTACACTGTTGCAAACCCTGACTGTTTTATGGTTGAGCTGTAGGCAGATTAAAAGGAGTTACCACAAGTGGACTTGCCATCTTAGGGCAGCAGGATTGAGAATGGCTCCACCAGTTTTAAATATCTCCAACTTGGAGAGGTGTTCATGTAGGGGTCTGCAGAGAACAGTAGTCCTTGGGTTCTAGCCACAGGGGTATCTATTTAATTTATTTAAAATGCATGCCCTGCCTTTTGACCAAAGTAATTGCTGACATAGCTTATGCAATTATTTTAAAAAATTAGAGAACATTAAGAGCTGCTAAAATTGGTAATGGAGCAGCATCTGCAGAATTGGCAATATACAAAAATAGTTCTGCAGTTGCTCTTTTAAAAGCTTGAAAGAGAAGCAGGGTTTTTTCCCCCTGCAGCAAGTGAAAGGTCCCAATTTGGATGCCAGCACACAGACATATTTAAGGAGGGCATTATATAATCAAAATGGCACAGCAGGAAAAAAAGCCTTGTTCTTGGATGCCAAAAGCGAGGTCATCCGAAGCAGCCTCGGCCAATGCTCTTGAAAAGCAGTCAGGTCCCCACTGTGGAAGGCATGCCTTGGGAGACATTGAAAGCACATGACAAGGCAAGCATCCCAGCAGAGAGGAGGTGGCAGTCCTTTGGGGTTAGTGCTGGGAGGATGCTGCCATCCAGTGATTCATTCAGTCAATTCACAAGCCCTGGGGATTCTGTATCAGAAAAAAATATAGTCCAAATGCATTGTACCCATGATTGCCAGACTCAATTAAGGTGAGCATCCTTAAGGAAGTGGAGCAGAAGAGTCTGACTGAAAAAGCAGCTTGTGTGGAGGGTGATGGGGGGGGGGTGGAATTTTTCCTGAGAACCTTTGTTCGGCTTTTAATTTAGTACCATTTCTCTGCCTGCACATTGGGAATGCCTCATATGGTGGTCATGAGTCATGATTTGTAAAGCCATTTATGTGCCAAAAGACTAGGGAAGGGCAGTTCTGAGTTGCCCTTTTCTGTATTTTTCATAGAGACATGGGAAACTGTCATATATCAGCTCCTTGATGGAGCTAGTTGCATGCTCATCCTTTTTGTTCTCATGTCCAGCTGCAAGCTTCCATCTATGTTGACTGGGAATTTTGGAAGTGAGTCCAGAATGTCTGGAGGGCATATGGTTGGCATTGGCTGCACTGCTTGTATGCACAACACCTGAATAACAGCCCTAATTCTGGATCAGACCAAGGGTCCATGTCATCTTGCCTTCTGTTCACTTAGCAGCCAGTCAGTTGCCCCAGCAGGAAGCCTGCAAGCAGGCAGTAGTGCAACAACACTTTCCCACCCATGTTCCACAGCAACTTGTGCATTTAGGCTCACTCCATCATGTTCTAACATGACATTTTTCTCCCTTTCCACCTTCATGCTGAGCATCATTTTGTACACCTTTCTCATGTCTCCTCACCTCACCCTTTTTGCTAAGCTATAACGAAGCAGCAGTTACAACCTTTCTTCCTTGGAGAGCTACGACCACTTTAATAATTTGAGTTGCCCTTTTCTGTATTTTCCCCACTGTATAACTGCATGGTTGTACAGCCTAAGCATCTGTAGCAGAAACACCTGCACACTGTCCCTTTCTCTTCCCTGCCTCGGTTTCCCTTCTGTCAGACTAGATTTGTAGACTCCTCAGGGCTGGAATTGTCTTCTTTTCCTGCATTGATGGCACTGAATAAGCTGAGTCAGATCATCAGTCCATCTAGCTTAGCCAACACCAACTGGCAGCAGTACTCCATGTTTTCAGACAAGTGCTTTCCAAGCCCTGCTGAAGTTGCCAAACTCTGAATCTGGGATCTCTTGCATGTAGTGCAACATGCATGCATGCAGAGCTCCCACTTTCCAAATGACTTCTCTCACAAATTGTAAGAGCCCACTTCCTCTCCTGTATCTCTCTGTCATTTCTGACGAGTTAAGAATGTAACCTTGGCTACTTTGCCCATATGCCAAATTCTGACCACAGCCACAGAGAAGGACAGGGCCTTTGCACTGCTGGCCCCCAGTGATGACATGCCCTTTCCAGAGAGTCTTGCCTGATACATGCTTATATTGTGCCATTTTCAGCCCCTGGTGAAGTCTGGCAGGCTCTTTCAGTCCGTCAGCTTAAAATAATGTGTTAGTATGCTGCTGCTATGCAACTTTGGTTTTTTTTCTGGTTTATTCTGTTTTGAAAATTTGCAAGTGTTTTTTATTGCTCTCTCTCTTCCTATGGTTTGGAGTCTTGTTTTGTGAACTGCTTGGTGCTTTGGTTATTGGGCAGCATAGAAATAAGAGGGTTCTTCAACAAGTTTCCACATTTTAAATTTCTATTAAGAATTTCAAAAACAAATTGCATCACTTTTCTACATAGTCACCATCCTTTGTGATGCATTTTTCCCAGTGTCATACCAACTTTTCAATGCCATCAACAAAAATATATATAAAATATATTTATAAATATAAAAGTGCAGAAAGCTTTTGACGACATCTTGTATAATACAAAAATATTGGTGTTTGCTAAATACCAAGGCAGACAGAGCCTGTACACATCCCCTAACATTTCAAAGCTTATTTATTTGGGCTGTACTTGGTTGGCTGTGGCTGTGATTCTCCAGTCAAATTACAGACTACAGACCAAAGTTACATTTTTAAAACACACATGTACACATGAGCACACACTGCAACATGCTCTGAGATTTAAAAATATGGAGAGATCAAAGGAGGAGAAATCCCAAGGTGCAGTGCATACCTAGCCAGTTAATAAAAACTTTGGGGAAATAAAGATCTGCTTCATTGGCTTCACAGAGCCTTTATTGCTAACATGTTGGGTGGATGGGTGGTGGCAGATAAACACTTGCATATGGTCAGGCAGGAAAGGAGCTAGCTGTCTATCCCCAGCCTGGCACCCAACCTGTTTTGGGCTACAGCTTCTAGCATTCTGGACTATGGGCTATGCAGCCAGGGCTAATGAAAATTGAAGACTGCAACAGAAGGAGAGCACCAGTCAGGGAAGGCTTAGTTGGGTACACACAGTGCGTTTGCAGTTGTGTTGGCTGTGAATGGCTAGGCATTGTATTTTTATCACTGTATCAGCTAATCTTTCCTCTGAATTTAGGACGGAGGCTCCCTAGACCAGGTTCTGAAAGAAGCCAAGAGAATTCCTGAGGAAATCTTGGGGAAAGTCAGCATTGCGGTGAGTGTGCTGCCACCTTCCTTTAACAAAGAGCTGGTGAGATGTAATTCTAGACCTTCCAGAAAAGTGGCTTGTCTTCATATACCTTTCTACAGATTATATAAATACTGAGGTGTCTGGTTTTTATACCTCTGAAAACTACTTCCCACTTTTTCATGAACTGCTTACCAAAAGGGATATCTTGGAAGCAATAGAGTTAAATTATGAGCTATTCCTTGGTAATGACTCCACTGTTGCCTGTCTTCAGTCCTCCGAACTAAGCAGATGATAACAATTGAAATACTCATCCACATCATTCTGAAGCTTGCCTTCTTTCACATGAAAGAGAGCTTCTGAAATGTTCATCCTGCTGACATATTCTCAAGTCTCTACAAGATTTGTGAAGCATCATTCAAGGGCTTCCAGAAAAGAAGAGGGGCAGTTATTTCTGTCTCAGCTAGGAAACTGGGAAGAACCTAGCCAGGCTTGGGAAGAGGAAGCAGTCATGCATTCATTCAGTTTATACACCACCCTGTTAACCATAAGGCACTCATATTTCCCTTGTATTGGTCAACACTCAGAAAGGTTTGTGCTTGAAAGATGTTTTGATCAGAGCCTTACTGCTCTAAAAGAAGCCTGCTCTTCTTCCACATGCACACCTTCAGTTGCCCAAAATCTTCCATCTTCTACATCTTTGCCTTGTCTTGACCTTTCTCTTCTCCTCCCCTGCCCCTGCCTTCCTTCCCCAGGTTTTGCGAGGGTTGGCTTATCTTCGAGAGAAGCACCAGATCATGCACAGAGGTGAGAGACAACCAGAGGTGTGCATGAAATTCCTGTATCAAGGGATCTCAGATTCTGCAATCAGAATAAATTACAGAAGGGCAATGGATTTGTGTAGACTTGCTCAGCATTATACTCTGAACACTGGTTTTGCATTTTCTGATATCAGATGTTGCCTCTGCTTAGTGAATGAGTGCACACAAACCCCAGCTTTTACTAAGACCTTATTTGATACTTTGGGAAATGTTCCACTTCAACATGTCTGATAGAATATAAAATACACTGAATGAAACCAGGAACAAAAGGTGAATAATGGATAGGGAACTAAAAAGCTGTTACCACATTCCTTGCAGCCTATGGGAATGTAGGCAGATTTCATCTCTTTTCAGAATTTCTCCTCCTTGCTTCACTCAGTTTTGGTCCCAGCTTGCCCTCACAGATCCTAAGTAGGAAGCAAAAAATGAATTTCCCATGACTGATAGGCTGAAGCAGGTTTGGTAGTTACAGGGCAAACTAGAACTGTTTTATTTTCATTAGGTGAAAATAAAAGGCCTTTCTCTGGGAACAGTGTAAATGCTCATATTTGAGAAACTGAACTAAACTATACACAGTGAGGTTGTACACACAGCAGAACAACCCTGAGTTTGGGTTAAATTGTAGGTTGTCACTGAATGGATTGTTGTGTTGTGTGAACCCAGCTGCACTAGCAGACCATGCTTTTAGCCACAAAGAGACCCCATAGTTTATTACTGGGGTGTGACCTCATGATTTGATAGTGCTTAACATACCATGGGTTCTTAGTGCACCTGGGTTAAACACATTCTCTGTAAATCTAGTCACTGGGGTATCAATTCTTGTTAAGACAGTTGCCAAAATGTTAAAAACAAATCAGTTCATTATTTTTTTAAAAAAAATCAATCTAAATGTTACAAACAATTTACCTTTGTTTAAAACTGGTTTTCATCCACCCTGAAAGGCAAATGGACCAAACTAGATTAGAAATTCACACTTAAAAGGAATAGAAATTATTTGGAAAGAAGGAACAACAGTTTGGTGAACTGTTTGTTCTTGATGAGAAAAAGCAAGAGACACAAACAAAAATAGAGGGATAATATAGTACAACTGTCACCACCCCAGGAAAAGCCCCATGCAGGGTAACAAGAACACAATTCAATTTATTTTTCCTAATACAGGGAAATAGACACACTGCCTAATCCCACATACAGACAGTGCAGAATGACTAAGAAACCAAAAGGTATCTCACAGGTCAAGATTTTTCAAACCAAGCTTGCATCCATGTGACCCTGCCCCACCCATAAGAGCCCATCACTTTGCTCACTACTCCAAACTACATGTGAGAGAAACAGAAGGTGCAAGATTTTAATTGAACCAGGGTGATGGAAGCCCCCGGTAAACTATGGCCTATTACTGGAAGGTGAACTTATCAGTCACTCAATTGTGGTCCCTCCTTCCCTCCCTCTTTGTGTTGTAAAGTAATGCAGATGGAAGGTGCTCCTTTATTTATTTATTTAGAATATTTGTATGTGTTGTAGAGGAATGCAGATGGAAGGTGCGCCTTTATTTATTTATTTAGAATATTTGTATGCCGTCCTTTCGCAGAGCCTCAGGACAGCTTACATAAATAAGAAAAATAGAATAAAACATAATACAAATAAAATCCAGATCCACCCTGGCTGCAGATTAAAACCTATATAGCTAATATTAAAAATTATTAAAATATTGTTGAAATAAAAGGTCAGCCTGGTGCCGAAAAACAAATAACGACGGTGCCTGGTGAACCTCTCTGGGGAGCGCATTCCATAGGCAGGGCGCCACCGCAGAGAAGGCCGTCCTCTGGGTACTTTGCCTCCTGTTGTCTTTCACGGAGGGTTCCCGGAGGAGGGCCTCTGCTGCCGATCTCAGGGGACGGGAGGGCAAATATGGAAGAAGGCGTTCCTTTAGGTATCCAGGTCCCAAGCTGTTTATCAGACTTGGTCTCTGTGCTTCCAGAGCATCATATGTTACTAATGAAGTCTCTGCTGGTTCCAATTCTAGTATTTTCAGAAGGAACCCCCTTTGCTTTGGGAAGCACCAGAGCAGGACTGAAGCAAGCTGAGTCCACTCAGGCTTTTACAGAATCCAGTGCACACCCCAGTAAATGCATATGATATTGAGGATCATTCAACCCCGGTTTTAAATTGTTGACTCTAGCACACTTTTCATTGTTTCCCTTTGTACTTTTCTAAAATCCTCTTGCAGATGTGAAGCCTTCTAATATCTTGGTGAATTCTCGGGGAGAGATCAAACTCTGTGATTTTGGGGTCAGCGGCCAGCTCATTGACTCCATGGCTAATTCCTTCGTGGGCACGCGATCCTATATGTCTGTATGTCCCTTTGCTCTGCTCCATAACTGATTTTTATGAGAAGCAGTGTGGGTGGGGAACCGACAGCTTATCCCATGACTACAGGGCAGTTAATGGTGCGGCAGCATGTGTGGGACTCGTGGTGGGAATGCCAGTGCACTGCTGCAGCTGCCAGGTGCTTTGCACAGTGTAGTTCTCTTAATGCAATAGATATGTTTGGTGCTTGAGCCCTTTGTGGGTGCATGACAGTGGAAAACAAAAGTACTGTGGTTTGTTTGAAACATACTGATAGTTCATATTCTTGTGTCATCCTGTCCTGGCATTTCTTCTAAACATTTTCTTGCCAAAGTCAAATAAGCACCCTGGGGCCCCATGTTGCCACCTGCTGTTTGTTAACGGGGCCGATTAGTAGCTTAGGGCCAGCCCAAGTGCCCTGCAGATGTGTTGCCCAGCACTTCCAACAATGGGGAATGCAGGACCAGCCCATCTGGAAGGCACCAGGTTGTACAGGTGGGGGCTTGCCTAGGCGCTCTAATAAATTGGCTACCAACCATTGCAGGTAAGCAGCCTTAAGCTGGTTGGATAGTGCATAAAGTTAAGGTCATGTAAAGATAGCATTTTGTTCTCAGAGATATTGTACACAGACCCCGCCCCGACACACAATAGTTTGTGTAGGAGCATTTGTTGCAGTTCCACAGCAGCCAGAGAATCATCAGTGTGTGGTCTAGAATACAACAAAGGAGTGCTGCTTTCTGCCTGCTGCTGGTGGGAGGTGCCACTGGTATTAGTGAATGTCATAGCGTGGGCCATTTAATTTGTGACATTAAGCTTCCTGGTCTGAACTGCTGACACTGTTTCACTTCTCAAGGCATGGCGCCTGCAAAGTCAACACAAAGGGGCTTTTCAGTAATTATTTGCAGTCATAAGTTTCTTCTCTCCCCTTGGGAGGGGGGGACACGATTTGCTATCTAGTTTGTCTGCCTTTTTAATAGGAGTTGCAGTTATGCTACTTATTTTTGCATTATTCCTATTCTTCCCAGTATCAAAGGTGTTCTGGCAGTTTCCAGTGATCCAGGACCAGGCTTGTAAAAAGCCATTTACTTTTTCTGATTAAATCTCTAGCTGACTGGCTTGGAAAAACGGGATTATGTAAACAGAAAAGTCTGCTACCGTTTTCTTCTACCTGCTGTGCTGCAAATGGCTGGCATTGGACATGTGTGGGTGGGTGGAGATGCTGGTAATGTCTGTGCATATGTAATCTGGCAAGGCTGCACTAATCCCCCTTTTGCCTGCTTGCAGCCTGAGCGTTTACAAGGCACTCACTACTCGGTGCAGTCTGATATCTGGAGCATGGGCCTCTCCCTGGTGGAGCTGTCGATCGGAAGGTACCCCATCCCCCCGCCAGATGCCAAGGAACTGGAAGCGATATTTGGCCGCCCCATGGTCGATGGGGCAGAAGGGGAACCCCACAGCATTTCGCCACGGCCCAGGCCCCCTGGACGGCCCATTAGCGGTAGGGCTGGATCAGGAGCTGCACTGACAATCAGATTGCTACCTCTAGCATTTGTTTCTGAAGGCCAGGCTGGGTGCTTGATCAAATCGAGCAGAAAATCAGGTGCTCCTTGTCACAGTGGCAGGTGTTCCATCAGAATCCCCATTCCTCTCCTAGTCCCTGTGCCTTTTCTTTGTTGCCATCACTGCATTGCGTTTATACCCTGTCCTGTTCTTCTTGTAAGGAATCCAATGCAGTTTACCTAGTTCTCTTCCACACTATTGTTATTCTCACAACAGCCCCTTGACGTAGTCAGACTGAGAGCCCATGACTCGCCTGAAGTCTTCCAGCTGAGCATTATGGTTGAATGGAAGCTAGAACCTGACTCTCCCAGGCCTCCAGACTAACATTCTGACCTCCACACTGACTTTCAGTCAAGGCAAAATGATTGTTACGACTGGGAGCATTGTTCATCGAGCGGGAGCTGAGTCCTCATGGGTCTAATGGAAACCATGTTCCTCTGGAGTTGGCCTTTACTACAACCATTTCACCACTCAATTAGAGTCTGGTGACCTGAAAGTCCAGTGACCCCCAAAGTACTTGCAACAATGCAAGGATGAGGCTTGGCAGCTGAGCTCCTTCCTTAGTCTGTCTCTCGAGAGTGACTTCTCGGAAGCCCCAAGGATCCTCCCAAGTAAGGCATGAGCCAGGGTGGCCTAGTGTTGAACCAGATATGCAGAGAAGCTCAGTTCCAAATTCCCACTTGCGATTTCTTACAGATTGTGTGCAAAAAGGTGGGCTAGAAATGCAAGAATGGCTGAAGTCTCCATTCCCCGTTCACCGCAATATCTAGTAGTGGAAAACATTCTGTCCAGACACATGGCAGTTCCTGGTTTGCCATTGCTAGACATGCTCATGAACATGGGTCTAATTAACCTGTCTTGAGGCTTTATTTACTGCCAAGCTAAGAAGCTGGTGCATCAGGATAAACTGTGCACAAACACCATAGCAACCCCAACTCATGAACTTGGTAATGCACGCAGCTCATTTGAGCACAGTCATATGCAATGACTAATGCAAAGAAATCAACCACAGTCGCTAATGACCAAAGGGAAGTCAGTCAGTATACCACCTGAAGGGCCACATGTTAAATTTCTGCAAAGCTTAACTGCTCAGTGAGTCAGCTTTTCTCATCCATGATGCAAACAGAAGTTCAAAACTTTCCTCCGCTTCAGTGGATTGTCCTTGTTTGATTTCTCCAAAAGAGATTGCTCTGGGTATTTCTTTAAATCATGTCCATATTTTTGTTTTGCCCTGGCAGCAAGCTGACTGCCATGTGAGCAGAAGTCCAGCTTAGATGGGCCCATTTGGCCTGATCCAGAAGAGCACTTATCTTCTTGAGGCTGGTGAGACACGCCCAGCTTGGTGGATCTCAAGTTGAGCTGGTCTAACCAGTTGCAGACCTGTGCCCTGCTCCCTCCCCACTGCTTGACTTGCCATGCCTGCTGTCCTGGAACCTGCACCATCCCGACAGCACAAACCAGGTCTAGGTGATGAGGCGCTTGATGGTGGGAAGCCCTTCAGCAGCACAGCTCTGGAATGTGGGCTCCCTTTTCCAAAGGAGGATCTTGATGGATGGGTTATTTAGCTCCCATTGAACCAGCCAAGTCACATGAATTGGCTCATTGCCTGTTGGGCAGTTACCCCCGCCCCTAGAGGTGGGCAGCACCCTTTGAGAACAAAGGTTATTCAAGGGTTACTTAACCCAGGATGAGTCATGGTGCATGACTGCCATTTCAGTTGAGCAACCCTTAATTGGGGTTGGCACCATGTTATCCAAATCCAGTCATTGCGGGTTACAGATTGTAAGTAAAAAGAGGCTTGCTGAGTAACAAAAGCATGAGTCAGTTCAGCCCAGTTGGGTCACACACAAAGCTGGACAGAGCAGGTGCAGCAGGTCATTAAGGGTTAAGTAACCCGCAGTGAGCTGGCCCTGCTGTATAAACCAGGTCAGAGTCTGAATTGGCTGAGTGTGTGTATCATGCTAAGCCACATAGCAAATAAGTTCTGGTGAGTGGTTGGCTTGTCTGTTACTCCCAACAGATTATTACCCTCTCTGTGGTTTCCCATGGCTTGTTTCTGCCACAGTCCCTCTCAGTTCTTCTGACACAGCCTAGAGACCTTTCCATTAGAAATCCTTATTTCCTTCCTCAATGCAATTTGTGCTGCTGTTCTAAAGTTGCCAGCTCTCAGGTGAACTCTTAATCTGAGCATCAGATCAACTGAGACCTATAAGCTTCTGAATCTTTCTGAATGTTGGAACACAATTGGAAACTTTTTTGAGGGGGAATGGTATCTTATGCAGGATTGCAAGATTGCCTGCCTGCCTGAGCTCAGCATAGCATACCCCACCCTCCACCAATGGCCTTGCCAGTTTCATTATGCACTTGAGTCCTTCCCAAGAGAAACTGCTCTCTTATCTCCTCAGCCAAGCACAGAAAAAGAAATAAGATAATGAACTCTTAGGAATGCAGGAATTTGCCCAAGGCTGAAAGACCACTGGTCTACTTTTGAGTCAAACCCTGCTCTTGTCAAAGTCCTTGTCAATCTTATCCTCCACTTGTTAGCAAATGTGGCCTCCCACCCCAGGCTGTTTCCGATTCTACTGAAATAACGCCAACCTGTAAAACTGCTCTCCTCCATCTGGCAGCCACATTTGAGTCTCCTCCCCCACCTAGTGCTTTTCACTTCCCTCCACTGGTCCCCCTTGCTAGTTGCCTAGGTGTGCAAAGGAGTGAGTGGGACCACTAAACACATGCACACATTTTGAAGTAGAACAGGAACAGAGTGGGTAAATGCATGCAGATCCCAAGGCAGATCCTCTAAAGCAGTTCAACCATGCTGCTTTAGTACAGCAGTCACTGCTCTTCAGCAGAAATTTTAAAAATGTGAATACATACAAATTTCCCTGAAGGTAGAAAAACACACACAAACATTACATTTGCCCAAGTCTCCCCAAGGGTGGGGAAGAAAATAATTTTTCACAAGCCCTCCCCAAAGCAGGGGGAAAAGAAAAGGTGTTGCTGTCTAGGGAGGCGAGGAAGTGGAAAAGTTACTCATTTTCAGATATAATAGGCAGTTGATAACATGAGCAAGATTGTAAAGAGCAGCCAGCAGATTTTTCTCCTGCTTTTGCCAGCGAGGTGCCTTAGCACTTTGAACAGTGCCTGCTGGAACAACATTGCCTGGCTCAGACGTCTTAACCCTACTGAGAGCCATGGGCTAGTGCTTCAAAAGTGGGCATGGGGGGAATCCAATGCAAAAGCCACACCAGGTTCAGTTGTCATGCTGTTTTATTTATTAGATTTATATCTAGCCATTTTCTTATGAAACCAAAGTGACTTACACCATTTTCTCCTGCTCCCCACAACAACAATCCTGTGAGGTAGATTGGATTGAGAGTCTGTGACCAGTCCAAACTCACCCAGTTGGCTCCATGGCCAAGCAGGGACTAGAACCCAGATCAACTGAGTCCCAGTTCCACACTCTTAACCACTGCACCACCCTGGCTTTGATATAGGAACCATGTGATTTTACTGGATTCGCTGTGCTTGCATTCTTGGGGTCTTGCTTGTCCCTTGGAAAAATGTAAGCTGTTTTAGGTTGTTGCTTTTTTTTAATGCATCGCATGCAGATCGCTTTTCATCTTGCATCTGTTCTTTCAACACTGCAGGACATGGCATAGATAGTCGACCTGCAATGGCCATCTTTGAATTGCTGGACTACATTGTTAATGAGGTTAGTGGCTGGAAGAGGTTTGTCACCGTTACTTCGCAGCTTTAAAATAGGAAGAGGGGTGAGGAAGGAGTTATGTGTTTTATTAACATACTGCAGTCATTTTGTGGCAACATTTATAGACTGCTCCACTCCTAAAAAGATTCTTCATTTAAAAAGTGATCTGCATGCTGTGGGGAGCATTACCATTTTAAACCTTCCTGTGGTGGATTCTTATTTACTGTTTCTAGCACACCTGTACAGACAAGGTGCAGTGCACGAAATGGCTCTTGACACAGTTCCTGCCCCATCATGCTTATGGTCTAAATCACTAGTTATCTAGTGCTTAGTTCTTTATCACTGGAACACCTAAGAGTGTTTTGGGGATCTTAAGAGATAGGCAAATCTGGAAGTCTCAGTGACTTAGGGCAATGGTTTTCAACTTTTCCACAGCTGGGGACTGATGAAAACAGGAAAACCACCTCAGGGACCAATGAGGCAGAAACAAAAAGCACCTTACACCTAATACAGTATTATGTGTTTTAGTTTCTAAACACAATACCAAAAGAAAGAGAGACAGAAAAGAAAAAAGAAAAGAAAATTCTCTCCAAAAAAACCCCCCCAAAACCAGAAACCAAGCAACAAAAAATGCCAACAAAAGAATGAAATACTAAAATTGGTGCAGTGTGGCTCCCAACCGGCTCCCACTAAGCCATCTCTCCCCTCTCTGCCCCCCCCCAGCAACATCAGTGCACCCCCCACAAGCACGATGCCAAACAAGGAAGAGGTGGTGGAACACAGCCAGCTGGAGGTTGCCCCTCCGCAGACCTGCAGGAAAACTGCGGACTGGCACCACTGACTTGGGGCACAATCCTATGCAGATTTAGATGGAAAGGGGGCCAACAGCTCCCAGTAAGCCTTTTTCCCTCTGAACTTGCATTGAATTACATGTATGATTCTTCTTTGGCTTAGGGGCTGCTGGCAACATTTAAAATCTGTTATGAAATAGGCAGCACTGATCATGAAAACACAGCAGTCAATTAAAATACATCAGGCAGATGGATAGAGTAGAATTTGTTTTAGTGCAGTTGGGTTATTAATAAATTAATTGCCACCTCACCCCTTTTTATTCCTCAATTTCCATCCCACAGGCTCAGATGTTCCATGGCATTGATCAATCATCCAGGCGGCTTTTCTCAAGTGTAATCTTTGTGCCTTTTCTCTCCTGTTTTCCCAGCCACCTCCAAAGCTGCCGACAGGGGTATTCACTCAAGATTTCCAGGAGTTTGTAAATAAATGGTAAGCCTTACCTTCTGTTGAAGGGAGTCTAAGATCCTGGCATGGTAGGGGAGAAGGTGCCTGATGGAGAGAGCCTTTGTTTGAGACCTCCTTCTCCCAAATACACATGGCTCAGATATTTGGCACCTTTCCACTCCTGCCTGACCCTGTTTTGGGAGATCCATGTGGCTGGGGTTGGAGTTCGAACACTTGGCTTGCCCAAGTTCTGGCACGCCTTGACCCAAAGAATCACACCTTGCCCTTGCAGGCAGTGCCTGTTGTTCATGCTGGTTGCTGTTGTTGTAATTGTTACTGTTGCTGTTTTTCAGCTTGATCAAAAACCCTGCTGAAAGGGCAGACCTAAAGATGCTGATGGTAAGTGGAGGAGCACTTCAGACCCAAGTATATGCTCTGAGCCACAATAAAATTGAAAATCTCAGCTGTGCTCCCAAGAAAGCAAGACTCTTTAGGCTGAATCAATCAGGCAGTTTGGAGTTTGCCTTCCTGTTTCTTCTATGTCTTCCTAGCTGGAGGGAAGCAAACCAGTTCAGCTCACCTGCCTCCAGGCTCTTTTAAGACTTGAGTGAGCACTGCTCCACAAGCCTTGAAGACTTTGTCTTCAAACCCATCCTGGGATGAAAATATAAAAACAACATGCAAACGGGATGTTTCAGCCACCACATACCTTTCTGGTGCACACCTGACGTGCTGCAAATGCACACGGGGGGCCTATGAACATACACCTCAGTGGTTTACCTCCTGGGTGGATGTCCACCTGCCATTCTCTTGACTGCGCCCTTTGCCTGAGAGACTCAGGATGCTCAGGGGTGGCATCCGACTAGCTCTTCCCCAAGCAGCTGGAGTCGGAACGCAACTCCTCCATGGAAGGCCAGAGCCACTTTCAGGGAGGAGTTGGAGGCAGCCAGGAAGCTCCAGCAAGGCCAGGTGTGGAGGAGGTGGTGGCTTTCAAGTGGCTGGGGGTGTTAGTTGCTCCCTTCTGTTCCTGTGCCCCCTTGCCTTACAGTTGCTCCAGCATCCCATAATTCTTTGCCATCACACCTTTTGGATAACGCAGCCGCTCAACACCAAGTATGATGACACCTTTTTCTTTCTTCCTCTCTTGCAGAATCACGCCTTTATCAAACGTTCTGAGGTGGAAGATGTGGATTTCGCAGGCTGGCTATGTAAGACGCTGCGGTTGAACCAGCCTGGCACGCCCACCCGCACTGCCATGTGACCACCGAGCAAGCTGCCTTCTTCCTTCCTTTCTTCCTTCCCTTCTTTCATGCACCTGCTTTGTCTGCTACCATTTGTTGCCCTTCAGCAGAAGAAAGAAGCGCCTTTCTTCGCCTCCCTCTCACTCTGTGCTCTGGAACGGCAAAGCCCTATGGTTTGGAAACTGCCCAATCATCCAACAGCAAGAACAGAAATTGGCTGGCTTCGTTATGTTCCTGTTTCGTCATTTGGTTTCATCGTTCGGTTTCATTTCTCTTCCTGCAACTCTCATTCTCCAGAGCTTCTGACTTGGGGCGGGGTGGGGCGGGGTTACAACATTGCTGCTGCTTTTTATTTGTATTGTTGGTTTCAGGAAGGGAGGGGGAAAGGGAAAGCTGCTGTGGGGGGGGTGACTGGTTGCACATTCTGGGGGTGGGGTCACATTTATGGGTGCATGTGAGGATGGTTCACAGAGGGCTACAGAGGAGTGTGCATTGATCAGGGTGAAGGGGGCCAGATGGCCGGATTGCATTGCCTCGTGGCTGACACAGAACTGGAGGATGCAGGCCTGTTTGCTTCCTGGTCTCTGCTTGGAGGAGATAGCAGGAGAGCTGCAAGATTGAGGAAGTTTGTGCTTGGGCAAGAAGCCAGCAGTAAATTCCTTCCCATGCACCTTTATTCTCTTCTGCCCTAGTTTTTGCATTTGGCTTCTGACAAGGAAGTTAAATCGTTCGTTCTGTTTATTTTGTGTTTGTTACGGGGGTGGGGGCGCTCCTAGAGTGTAAAAGTGCAGCTGTTAATGCACACAAAATTTATGCACATTGCTATGCACCAGGGGAGGAGCTCTGTGGTCACCTGCCCAACGTCTGATAGGGCTGGCAATGGTACACCTACTTCCTCAGAGTGGTGAATTTTTTAAGCCTGTGTCTTTTCTTCCTTTATCTGCTTGGCATATCAGCCCTGCAGAGTTCTACACTTCTCAAATCACATGTGTTACTAATTCTTTAGATGGAAGAGGCGGGTGGGGGGGTGCGGCGGGGCAGGAGTCCTTCAGGAGCATTGCTGAGTGGAGTTAAGGGGTGGAAATGGTTGTTGCTAGTTCTTGATCCAGCAAAGGGGTGTGAAGACTTGCAGCCATTGTCTCCCTGCTCTCTTTGATGTTGGGTAAACACACGCCTCCAGCCACCATTCGTTTCTGCATTGCTTCCAGCAGTGCCTTTGCCCTGCCCTTGCTTTAGCCCGAGTGTGACACGAGTGGCATCCTCGCCTCACACCTGCTCTCTTCTCTGCCTTGATCAGCCAACCTGCCTCTGGCCCACAAGCGGGTCAAAGGGAGGCCCCTTGACCCTGCATCGGGGTGTGTGCGCTGAGCAGGACCGCTTGTGGCAGGCCTGATTTCTGGTGTGCCCCTTCCAGAAAGTGCACCCTCCCCCATCTCCAGAACCTACCCAGTTCCTTTTTCCAGGTGTTCTCTCATGCCGCCTGCAAACCCTTTCTGTTTCTCCTAGGCAAAACATTTTCCTAACCAGCATTCATTGCTGATTTCCAAGGCAGCCAGTTTTTAGCAGCCCAGAGGCAAAACACATCAATGCCTTTTCTCTGCCCATTTAAACAACACGAAATCCAAGAATGGGTTCTCTTAGAGATGATCTAAGACGGCTGTTGCCCATCCTGCTGCCCTTTGAGCAGTGGACCCTCTGTCCTTCTGAGAAGTCTGGAAGAGTGGGCCAGGTTCTTGCACCCCATCCGTCACTTTGATTCCAATAAGTGAAAGCGGCCACCACCAGGTGGCTGAAGAAGATAGGGTCCATGCACGGCCTTTTTATGGAGCTGAGTCTAGCCAAGTCCCCATGCAAGGTTGGCACCTTGGCTGCCATGTTCTGTGCAGGTTTGGCCAGCAGCAAAGCCCACGTGTGTTCTGACTGTGCAGCACCTTGCAGGAAAGAGCCTGGCAAGTGATGACGGTTGGTGGCCTTTGTCCGCTTCTAGGAGGGCTGTTGCAAGGTGCAGGTCTCCCATGTGGTTTGCGGAGGCGCACCATCCTCTGCCCTGTCCCCAGAGGACACCTTGTGGAGTGCCTTCCCAGATCTTCCAAAGGTTTGGCAGATGCCAATAACTAAATGGGAGTTCTTACTTTCTTAGCAGTTGAACGGTCTTCTTGGACATTGTTGGCATGGGTGTATCCGCTGAGCCACCTTTTAGCCATAGGATGGAATCCAGGTGGCACCAGCAGAAGGCCACGTGCTGCTGCTCTGCAGGGAGCCAGCAGGGCCAAGGGCATCTATGGGATGTAGACTTCGGGTTCCGAATATGCGGGAAAGCCTTTGTCTCACAGCAGGGACATCCAGCTCTCCTTCGGTTGCTTAGGCCTGTAGATGTTTTTGCTTTGGGTTCTGCAAGCTTCACCCTTGTTTCTCATTGCACCTGTTACCTTGGAGGTACCTGATCAAGGGGTGCTCAGCCAGCTTCCATGGGTGAACTTAAGGGGCTGCAGCCCACACCTCATCAATGCCTTCAGCTTTCTTTGCAGCCCTGCTTTGAGTAGGTGGCCTGGCTAGCTCCTCTCCAATCATCCCCTTGGAAGGAGCTGAGCCAGAGGTTGCCAGCCCCTGCCGTAGCTAACTAAATTTAAGAGCTCACTTTCTGCCTACTTGGTGCCCTCCAGATTGGTTGGACTAGAAATCCCATCAGGTATCGTGCAGGACCTCACCCTTGTGGGGGTGGGTGTTTGGAGGGCGCAAGAGCGTGCCGTGTCTGGCAGTCCTAAGAATTCTAGAAAGAACATGTGGGGGCAAGGAAGGCCTCTGCTAGGACAATTTACACTGCTGATTATGATCCGGATTCGCTGGGTGTTAGGAAAAAAAAAACGGTTTCATTAGAAGGTCTTTCTTTTTTCACCTGGGGCAAAATGAGCAGATGTGCTTCTGAAGGGACCCCAGCCCAGGTTATTTGCGTCTTTGTCAATTTGCTTCACAGACTCTTCACAGAAATGGGTCATGACATTGCTGTTTCTCTCCTCCCCAGCAGCCGGAGAAGTCTAAGAAATACCTTCTGATTTTTCGAATGTCCAAAGGAAAATCTGTAGGTACTGCTTGGGTGCACAGAGTTGGCCCTTAAGAGCTAGCAGCATTCTGCAGTGTTCTAGGAATCCCTGGTTTTGTGGGCCTGCTGAATGTGGTGGAGTCCGGCTTCCGAACAGCTTATTTCATTTCCCCCACTCTGTGTGCAATTGTATTTTATCAAATGGGGTAACTCCTGAAGATTTGAATGTATAATACTCAGTGTTTTGAGTTTTTTTATTTTTAAAGCTGTCAACGAACTAGTGGGATCATGAGATCTAATTCCTGTACCTTTTTATTTTGACACAATCCAGTTATGAACAGTGAGGCTTTTGCTGGGGTGTGTGTGTGCGTGCAGGGGCTGTATTTTATGTTTATCTGCCTCTTATTTAATTTTTAAAAAAATATTTAGTAAGATGTTCTACACAAAAGTTTATTTGGGTATGTTTTGTGCTTTTTTGTTCTGGCGCTTTGGTTATTTGGGGAGTGTTTATGAAGAATGTGAGCATTTGGTGCATTTTTTTTTTAAGAAACTAAATATTTTCATCATGGGGAGATAAAATAAATGGCACTTTACATTAAAAGTCTGTTTTTGTTTTTCCCTTTGTAAACTTGTGTGAGGATTCTGGACTTGTTTCTCCATAAACTCTATATCTATATCTCTCTCTCTATATATATGTACACTCACTCCTCCTCTCTCTCTCTCTCTCTCTCTCTCTCTCTCTCTCTCTCTCTCTCTCAGACTGCTTGAGTAGCTTCAAAATGAGTAGCAGCTTCAGAGTGAGCCTGACCAGGTTGAGGGACATAGCCATGGCCTTCTTTGCAGCTGCTCCCACCTTTTGGAGCTCCAGTTGGTTCCTCCTCAGTTCTCCTTCTAGCAGGCAAATATAACTTTATTCAGGCAGGTTTTCTGGTCTGCTGCCTAGTGATTTTGTACTTGACAGATTTTGCTGGACATTTTAAATCATGTAATTTATTATAGGCCCCTTCTGATTCTTCCATTCTGTTTGAGTTTTAAACAGTGTTTTAATTTGACTTTTATTGCTATCCACCTTGAGTACCCTTTTTGGGTAAGAAGGTGGGAATATAGATAAAATAAAGCTGATCAGGGTAGCACACGACAAAATATTTTGCTTATAAATTAATAGGAAATCACAAAGTAAGCACACAACAGCAGCATGGAAAACATTCAGGTCTGCTGGCTCCTGGAAAATGGGCAATGAACAGGACAGGTCTTGGAGAAAGGAAGTGCCAGAGGTGCAGAACCATGGCTGGTCGTCCTCCCACACTGGGCTCCACACCCAATGTCAGGTGGGCAAGGCAGAGTGCCAGGCAGTGGGCTCATGCCCCAGTGGGCTCATGCCCCAGTGGAGGGATTGTGACCCAAAGACTTTGAGGGGATGTGGACCAGGATTGGGCCAGCAGGCAGGGTGGCTTGTTTACGATCAGGAGGGGGACCTAGCAGGCATGTGAGGCCACCTCCAAAGCGGAGAACGTGCTCCAGCAGTGGGCAAGCAGACAGAGTACTTTCCCCTCCTCCTCTTGCCCTGGCAGTGACACTGGGTGCTGGGTTGGGCTGAGGGGGAGGGATGGGCCCAGGACATGGGGTGAGCTGGCCTGCTTCCTGAACAGTGATTCTTGCAGAGAGCTGTGGTGAGCATATAACCAGCCTGTGTTATATGATGGCCCTGGGTGTCCTTTCATGCTCGGAACCCATCCAGCCCAGGCACATCCGAACAGGCATGCCAGAATACCCAAGCCAGAAGAGACCTCCAAGCCCTTCAGCCCCCTCGTCACTGGCCCTTTACAGAAACCCTTGTCTGCACACCGCTGGGCCAGGATGGCCCCTCCGCAAGTGGTGCTTGCAGAACCAGCGCCACTGAGCTAAGCTGTGTGGGAATAGCAACTTGGGCCCTATTCTGATGCCACATTTTCTCTCTTGCTTCATGATTCTAGGGACAGTTAATGCCACAGCATTTGCAATGCCACCCTCACATGGCGTAGGGAAACATAAAAGCCTAGGGAAAGCAAGCATGATTTCTGTTCTAATATCTCTTTGCAATCTCTACTGGTTTTATGACTTCACTTTTATTATGAATATTGTTGCTACTTGGGAGTGCTCCTACCCCGAAAAGGCATCTGAGAAATATTTTAAATAAACAGGGATGAGAAGAGAAATCTGCAAGATTAGAGGGTTGCTTTCTGCCATATTTAATATTAACATTTTCCAAGAATAAATGGGATATGTGAAGCCTTCACTCCAGGTATGCAGAACCTGTTCCAGTCTAAGGGCCCAATTACATTCCCGAGAAGCTCCTGAGGGCCATGTCCCTCCAAACACGCCAGCATGTTGTTGCCAATTTATTTATTTATTTTTCGATTTATATCCTGCCTTTTTCCTACAAAGGGCTCAAGGCAGCTTACATCTCCTCCTCCATCTTATCCCCACAACAACAACCCTGTGAGGTAGGTTGGGCTGAGAGTCTGTGACTGGCCCAAAGCCACCCAGTTGGCTCCAGGGCTGAACAGGGACTAGAACCCAGATCCTCTGAGTCCCAGTCCCAGGCTCTTAACCACTACACCACACTGGCTCTCAATTGCTCTTATGGCTCTTAACTGCTTTTTAGGAAAGGCATTTAAGCCTTTTAGAGAGGGGTGGGAAGAATATTGCACAAAACCAGGAAGCCACCTAATGCTTAGCTGTATGAGGAAATGGAGCAAAACCAAGAGGAGAAGTGTGATCATCTAGAACTCCAGAGGACTGCACCCCAAATTTATGTAAGCCAAAAAGAAGGAAAGCCCACAGAAAAGCTCATTCCCAAAGCCAGCATGGTCCAGGCATAGCAGCACCCAGGTTTGCATCTGAACTCAGCCACCAACCTCTGGGGGCAATAGAGAGGGGAGAGGGGGTGAGATAAGGTGAACCAGAAGCAAGTTAAGTGCATGGAGCCGTTGGGATGGCATCCACCCCAGCAAAGCACCGCAGTTGAAATTGCCGGGGCTCTCCAGCTTCCCTCAAATGGCAAGCTGGACCCAGGAGAGACCCCACGGGTTCTTTAGGGGCACAGACCGCAAAGTGCATGCAAAGTAGCGTTTGCATATTTGTGGCCCTGAGCCTCACATCTTTTTGGCACCAAGCACCACCACTGCAAGCCAGTATTTATATCTTGCTTTTTCCAAGTTGCAGCCCTTCACAAAGCAGCTCACACACGTAGCAAATGTTAGCAACAAACGCCATCTAGAAAGTGGAGCCGTTCAGTACAATCCACAATTCCGTCAAAGCAATCTCAGTGCAGTGCAGGCTTAAAAGCAATTGTTCAGAAGAATACAAACCTGCCAGAACACTTTCGTTAGAAACAGATAAGAAACTGAAACAAAGCCTCAGGACTTCAGACAATATAAAACTTTGCACAACAGTCTGATTAAAAGCAGTGACGCCACTGAATTTTACAAGCGGTTGCCTTGTTGGTCAAAACACATCTGTCCATCATGTTCAGCTTCCTTGCAAGCCTTGATCGATATCTTACCAATTTGGTAGGAAATTAAAACAGGTGGTCAACTTTGGCACAAGTCCACCCCATTGCTCCCAGTCATCCGGCCCCTGAGACCCCACCCCAAATTAACATGAACATCCTCCATAGCATGAGCATTTTCTACTTTTCTTCCATATTCTTTTAGTTGCTAATGTTCAGTTTATATGCTTTTAATAATTGTGGTTTTATTATTGTATGTTTTTAATTTTATACTATGTAAGATATCCTGAGCGCTTATGCGGAAGGACAGGATGCACATGTTTGTGATAAATAAATAGCCCCTTGCTTCGCTGTCTGCACAGCAGCTCTGGCTGCAAGAGGGAAGGCCCATAGACCTTTCATGCCACAGAAGGTGTCCTAGTAAATCTTACGCATTCATCACACTGGCATGGGGCATGGAAATAACCCATCAAAGGGGGGCACCAGAGGTGTCCTGCATCACCAAACTCCAGCTCTGAGGCTGCATCGGGACCTTGTTGCTGTTGTTTAGTCACCAAGTTGTGCCCAACCCTTTGCAACCCCATGGACAACATTCCTCCAGGCTCTCCTCTCCTCCACCTCCCACGGAGTCCTCCCAAGCCCACACCCACCTCCCCAGTGATTCCATCCAGCCACCTCAGCCTCTGCCATCCCCTTCTCCTTTCACCTGCAATCATTCCTAACATCAGGGGCTTCTCCAATGAGTCCTTCCTTCTCATTGGGTGGCCAAAATACTTGAGCTTCAGCTTTAGTACCTGACCTTCTAAAGAGTAGTCAGGATTGATTTCCTTTAGGATTGACTGATTTGATTTCTTTGCAGTCCAAGGGACTCGCAGGAGTCTCCTCCAACAGCACAATTCAAAAGCATCAGTTCTTCAGCACTCACCCTTCCTTGTGGTCCAACTCTCACAGCCATACCTTGTATACTCACAGCCATGAGTATACAAACTCTTGTATCTGCATTGGGACCTTGCATGTGTACAAAATTCCATAAACACATGTGCGCAGACCCCCATTTCTCTTTAGAAGGGAGCCTCAAGGGCCTGTCGCTTAGCCCCCCAACTATGCAGAAAGCCTCTTCCATGATCCCTTAGCGTGCCGAATGTGATCAACCCCTTCCATGTTCCCTACCCTTAGCTGCTCTTGCTCCAGGTGTTGGAAGCCTCTGCAGCTTTTCTCCTGGCTGGCCAGGTGTGCCCAGTGCCTTGCGGTAGTGATGTCTACCACAATGAGCACAGTCTGCTGGTGGAATAAGCAAGGCCACAATCCTAGAGTCATTTCCCCGAGAGTACGTTGTACCGAAAGCAGACTATATCTGAGTACACATTCACAAGATGGTCCCATAAAGATGGGCAAAAATATGGAAGAAGGAAAAAACAAAAGAAGAACAGACCACACAAGGGGCAAACTATGATGGAGAGAGCTTGTGGGTGGGAGAACAAAGGTCCAATGTCATAAGGTAACAATTCCAAAAAATGGGAACTGAAAGAGAAGTGGGTCAAGAAGAGAAATGGATGAAGAAATACATCTGTGGCTCATGCCAGAGTAAAACAGAAACCCAGTTCAATGCTGCCCTACAGAGCAAGCAGGGGAAGAGCAGAGAAGAGAAAAAGGAGACGAACAATGACACTGAAAGAATAAAAGGGAGGTTGGTAGATCTAAAGATGAGCTTGAAACAAATGTTATTGCCTTGAATTGAGTGAGATGAGGGTTCTTCGCCAAAGGAGTAGGCTCAGGCAACCCTCCGCTGGATTTCAAAAGCTGAATTCCATTCTTCTGCAAGAATGATCAGTTCCTTCTGTGGCAACTTGCTGTGTAGGGAGAAAAAATGGGGTCCCAGTCATACAGAGCTTCGGCGCTGCCAACCATCAGCACTCAACTCTGTCAGATGGTCCTCTAGAAAGAAGAAAAGGTTCTTCTCTTCTGGTTTCCCCAAACTTGCCACTTCCCTCCAGGGTGATGGAGATGCCAGGAACTGAATCAAAACAAGACCTCGCTTCTCAAGTCATGGGCCTTTCCCTAAAATAAGTCAGACTGCAGTGCTCATGATTGTGCATTCAGGGGCAATGCAAGCAGGAAAACAAGAAGCTCCTTTCCAAGGACCACGTCTGCTGCACCTATGAGCAGCAGAACCTTTCGTGACCCACCCAGCAGCTGTTGCTTCTTGGCTGTTGCCCCAAGTCTCTCCTTCAACAACATGAACCAGTTTTGTAAGCTCCTCGGGGCAAGGATTTTTATGCATGGCTTATCCATAGGTGTCGCTGAGTAAGAAGCTGCAGCGTAGCAGGGGCTGGGCACAGGCTCTGCCCCCTTCTCCTTCTTTGGAGGCAGAGAGCAGACCTCTGCCTTCACCTGCTCCTGGAATACTCAACTTGGAGAACTTCTCTGCTGCTTCACGATGCCCCAAAGCACCCCGCTTTCACAGCTTAACCCAGCTGCAGAACCAGAAACCCTCGGTGTGGACAAGGCCTACTTAGATATTATTATTTCCTTTGTTTATGATGATGATTGAATTTTATATTTTATAATTTCATTTATTTTTCATATTTATATTATTTTATCATGGTTTTATTTTGTATTTATATTTATTTTCATTAATAATAATTTCATTGTATATTAAATTTTATATATTACTCTTATTTATTATCTTATACTGATTTAGGATTATTTCCTTCATTTGTTTATCATTATTTTATTCTTTTGTGGTTTTTTAAACGTTGTTATGCTTTTTAACCAGCTTTCCAGAGTGCGCTGTCCTCATATTCATAAATACACAAACATGCAAATTACAATTAAATAATTAAACCACACTTGCTACTAGCTGTAGCAAGCAACTTTCATTCAACTGCAAATACAGACTGGAAAAAGTGTTGGTGGGGGGGGTCTCCTGGGACATCATCAAAGTGAAGAGGTCCATCTGTGTTTCCATGCGCAGGGGGTTCCAAAGGTGTGCAGGAAGGTCCAGTCCCCTGGGAGTCTTGGTATGCAGCAGGCTTTGACCCCCAAGTCTTAATATTTCGGGGGGCTCATGCCGCTGCAAGGGGTCTTCTAGGTAACACAGCTGCAAACCAGTCGGCACCTGAAAGGCCCAAGCCAGGCTGGCAGGGTATGCCAAACGGAATAAGGGAGACTCCCACCCATGTGCCAGCCTCCCACTGGGGTTGCCATTCCCAAGATGACTTCCAGGGCAGCCCCACGTGGAGTGCTTGACTGTAATGCAGCCTGTGCAGCCAAGCTGGGCATCTGCGCAGCCAGGTCCGGCGACACCTGCCAAAGCAACCTGAGATTAAAAAGAAAAGCAGTGTAGGGATTATGCCATACGGCAGCAATTAAAATCCATGATGAGTGACCAGGCTGGGGGCAGGTTTGTCTTGATCCAAGAACTTCTCCTGCCCTGGCTCTGCCCCTGACCCAACTTTGACATGGGGGAGACACGGGAAGTGTGGGCAAATCCTGCCCTGTGAGAGATGCCTTCTGGCCTCCAGGGGCTTCCAAACCTTGACATCTCCCATGAGAAAGAGAAAGCTGCAGCAGGAGGAAGCAGGAATGGCATGCGGGAATGTAATGAGTTGGTTTGGTTCCGGGTCTGGAATTGCCACAGAGTTGAAGCAGCTCCTCATTTAACTATAGCCAGACTGAAAGTTGTCTCCAGCATAGAGTAGACCCATTGAAATGAATTGGACAAACACAGTGTCTATCCACTTAAGTCCCACTTGCCTCAGGGAGCCTATTCTATGGAGGGCTAATACTGGGTAATGCCGTTATTTATAATGCAATAAAAAACAATAAAAATAAATAAATAAAATTATTTACTTATATTTCAGTTCAATGAGATTAAAAGGCAGGTAAGAGATCCTCTTAAACTGATCAGCCAGGCTTATTACAGCTGTGACAGCAAATGCCAGTCGCATAAAAATGTTCTAAATAAATAAATAAGTACCCTATTCACAACAAATATTTATTAGATTTGCATTCCACTTAAAAAAAAGCAGCACTTAAAGTGCATTTAAAGTGACATCATTCTCCTCCTGCTGCTCTTAATACCACACTGGCTTAATAACAGCAATTGCGTTTTACACTTGAGAGAATTATGGACTGTGTTGTGGTTCAGAGCATAGTACTGGGAACTCAGGCAATCCAGGTTGAAGTCGGACTCAGCCACGGAGCTGACAGGGTGAATTTGGGTCAGCCATGGCCTCTCTGCCTATCCTATCTCACAGGGTGGCTGTTGAGAGCAGCAAGAGCAGAATGGTGCAAACTGCTTTCATTGCAAAGAAAAATGGAATATAAATCTAATAAATAAATCTATTAATCTGTAAGTCCCAAGTTCTAACGTCTCAGTGAGGTCTTTGGAGCAAAGATCAGATCTCACGCAGTCACCAAGGCCGGTTCTTTACATTCCTCCCGCTGCCTACGAATTGGCTGTCAGGACAGCCAAGAGAAACAGCTTTGCAAGGGAAAACCAGGTGCTCAGGGCTGCACAGAACTGTCTCCCGGATCCCTCCTCAGGTGAGTCTGCCTTCACTTGCAAACTTGCCTTTTGTTTTGCAGCCGCAACAGTGGCAAATTTAGCGGCAATTTCGGTGGAGCTGGGAAGCAACCCCCGGTGAGTTTGGGGGAGAGCTAGTGTGCCCCCGACCCCTAGAAGTTGACCGCCCCTGCTCTTGAAAGGTGATCCCGGCCAGTCCCTCGGGGTATATTTTAATCGGCAGAACTGGTGAACTGATTGTCTTTGTAAAGCTCGTGTGTGCATACGCACACTCACACGTGTTTCTGCCTGTCTAAACCACCTTTGCAGATTTATTCTTGCGGTAGGTAGCCTGGAGCCCTCCCTAGGGAAGAACTAGGAGGCTCTATTCAAAAAAAAATATGGTGCTCATGTTTGTTAAATTTCTCTGTGCCACCGAAAGGTACTGAGAACAAAACCCACCCTGGAAAAGAAAAACTGACCCGTCCACCGTGTGTGTGTATTGGCGCTATGCGTGTTTACGCGCGTGCACGCAGACAAGCAGCGAAAGGAAGATTAACTTTGAGGAAACGGCACAGCCGGCGGCTTTACGAGGTCGCCTCTGCTCGGCCGGGGTGCCACGAGGTCCTCTTGCAACTTTTCCTAGGCGCAGCGGCGGCAGCACGGCGGGCAGCCTCTCTCCCTCCCCAGCTTGCTCGAGCGCGGCTTCTGGATGGAGCCCGTTCACCTGCTGCTTGGCTCGCCCTCGCCGTCCTTACTCCGGAGCGAGCGCTCGGCGGCCGCCTCTCCCCAGCTCTGCGCGCGAGCTCGCGCGGCCTCCTCCTCTCGCCCGCGCCCTCTTTTTGGGTTGCAAACCCGCGCCAGGAGCAGCGGCCGCGCACAGCCTCGCCTGCGCTGGCTTAGATAACATGGATCGCAGCCACGGCTCGGGGAGGCGGCCGGGCTGCGGGAGCCGCGGCGGCGGGAGCAGGAGGGTCCTTGCCCGGCTGGGCTGGGCTGGGTGGGGCCGGGCCGCGCGAGGACGAGGGCGAGGGCGGCCACCCCGCGGCGGAGCGACCCGGGCGCGTGTGCCCTTGGCACGGACGCGCAGTGCCAGCCGAGGCGAGACGTGGCAGCCCGCGCGCTCGCTCGCCTGCCCGCCGGAGCGCCTGCCGGCCGCGAGGGCGAGGGGTTGCCTCGCGTGCTCCCTGCCCCAACTTCCCTCCCTTTTGCACGCTCGCCTCCCCCTCCCCTCCTTCCTGCTCCTCGCCTCTGCCCTCCCTCCCTGCCTGCCTGCGCGCCCGCCTGCGCGCCCGCCTGCCTGCCTGCCTGCTTGCTTGCTGCCTGCCTGCCTGCCTGCCGTGCAAACAGGGACCTGCCCAGCCAGTTGCAGCCCCATGTCAGCGTCGCCGGGCCAGCGTCGCCGGGCCCCAGCAGGTTCCCCCGGCCTGGCGCCGGCAGCTGCACCTTTAAGAGGAGGGAGGGTCCCGTTTTTACCCTGAGAAGAACCAGGAAGGGAGTTCACGGCATCATACGGGGCTTTGCAACTACTGTTACAGTAGGGAGGGAGGGAGAGAGAGAGAGAGAGAGGGAGAGAGGGAGGGAGGGAGGACTTGGTAGATCTGCTCAGGAACGGACTCCAAACTCCAGTCGTCTCCTTCCTCCTCCTGGCCCCCACACCTTCAGGACCAACAAGGTAAGGCTGCGGGATCGGGGTGGGCTCCTTCTCCGTGTTTCGGGATCGGGGTGCTGGCCGTGGGATCTGCCCCCTCCCCTTTTAAGAGAGTATCGAGGGGGGGTAGGTGGGGGGAGCCCTTTGCTACGCTCGCAATGCTGCTTCCTCTTTTCTAAACTGTTTGTGACTTGTATTGTGATTATGATTATGATTGTAATCCGAACTTTTTTGCTTGTTGGGCATCCCCGTTCTGTAACCTGCGCTCGAAACGGCATGCATGTAACAGAGATCGATCGATTCAGAGGAGAGTGCAGTAAAGGGCATGTAGCGGGTGGTCGCGCTTTCCGGGCCAGGGAAAGGGATTTGACGTTAAACTCGGCCGTCTGGAGGTGCGTTTGGGGAGGGGGCTGGGGCAGAGGGTGAAGGTGAAAGGGGTTAGAGGAGCGGGGAGGCAACCCCTCGCTGGGTGTGTATTGGGGATGTCTGTTAGTTGAAGCCATGCAATAAATCCCCTCCACAAAAAAAAAAAAAAAATTAGTATGATAATCCCAGTGGGAGGCTTTTGCAGTGAATTTCTCTTTGCATTTAGGAAGTTCCAGGGCTGCTGCAAGCATTGCAAGGAAGTGGAGGGGAAATCACTTTCCACCCCTTCCTCCAAAACCCCTATTTCTTTGCTGCGTGCATACGTTGTACGAGGGCTTGCTGGGGTGGGTGAGTGGGGGGGGGGCAGGATATGTTTTTTTTTTAAGGGAGGGGGCTTGCAAGTCCAAGGAGCGCCTTAAGGGGAGGAAATGTTGCTTGGCTTCCTGGGAGTTGTAGTCTTCCTCTGCGTTGGGTCTGCAGGTGCAATGGAGTCGGAAACTACGGCTCCCAAGGTGCACCGCGACGAGGCCAGCCCGGTGGTTCCGCGGGAGGCGTGTTGACGGGCGGCCGCGCCGGCCAATGGAGAGGCTGCCTGCGTCTTTTCCCCTCTGGCCCTCGCTTGGGCCAATGGCGGACCCGGGTGGGGGTGGGGAAGGGAAGGCAGCCAAGGGCTCGAGCGGGGCCAGCGGCAGCCCCTCCCCCGGGGAGAGGTGGGGTCCCCGGGCGCGGCGACCAGGAAAGGCCGGGGATGCGAGGCCTAGTGCGAGGCTCGGGCGGGACTAAACCTGGCTTTACCTCTCTTCCCAGCCTCCCCGCTGGGTGCTGTGCAGGGCAAGGAAGGCGAGCTGGAGACATCGGGGTCCTTTTCGCGGTCCCTGGGGGAAATCGACTTGTGTTGCGGGGGCGGGAAGCTGTGTGTGTCCGTAGAGGGGGAGGCTTCTGATGTTTGAGGGGGCAGATCTTGGCCAGGGAGGTCAGGTACTGGAGTTTGAAGGGCTTGGTTTGCGGGTGGGTGGGAGAGAATTTGGGTGGGTCGAGTCCGTGCAAGGCTGACTTGGGGGCGGGAAGGAATGTGCGTGGGCAGGACTGAGTTAGGTTTGCATTTGAGTAGGTGGGGGAGGATTTGGGTGGGTGGGGCTGAACTCAGATCTGAATTAGGGGGTGGGAGAGAAGGAGGGGGAGCCTGAGGCGGTGAAGTGGAGGGAGCAAAATATTTGACAGCCCGGCCTGGCAGCGCAGGGTCTGAGAGGCGGCTGCTGCAGCTCCAGCTCTCCCAAGCGTGCTGAGGGGGCCTTGAGCTTCCTTGTCCTGGTGTCACCCCCTTGTACACCAGGAGAGCCTCCGGATGAAGAAGTGCGTTTTCTGCAGCAGTGAGAGAACAGTGTATTGTGGGCGCTGGATATTTGTCAGTGCTACTTTTGTTAGCAGGTGCTGTCCTTGGTAATGTATTTGAACTTTAAGAAGTTGCTTTCTGCAGATAGGGTGCATCCAAAACAGGCACACAAATGGGAAAATCAGCCTAGTGAGATTAAGCCTGCTTAATGCTGACAGCTGATGTTTGTTTGTTTTTTAAATTAAGGAAAGCTGGCTTTTTTTCTTCTTCCTCTTAAGACCAAAACTAGCTTTACACTACCTAGCTAGGTGGGGTTAGTACTGAGGGCTAGTAACTCTGGATGACCCATTTATGCATCTGTAGATGCAGCTATGTAACAGGTAACAAATGCAGGCTGTGAACCTGGAAGTCCCCGCATTAAAAACGTGTGTATTTTCGGTTCCTTCCTCCAGGTGGGTTTGCGATGGTTATTATCTCCCCTCCTGCTTACATGTTAGCTCCTTTCAGTGGGCTAGACTGAGGAAGAGACAAATCCTGGTCCAGGATCACTCTGGAACTCCTTTTCATCTAGGTTTCTGCAATGAATTTGCAAGGTGGCTTTAGACGAGCTATGGGAAGGGAGAGCTTCAACCACAGTGATAGCATAATACCTTTATTCCAGAATCTGCTTTAGAAAAATAAAAATTGAACCAGCTTTTGGATTCTAAGTCTCTATAAGGCTAAATGTTGAACAAGAAAAAGGTGGAGGGATACAGGGGAAAAAAAGGGAAGTAAAGAAGTTTGCAGTCTGTGATTATTGGTAAGCCTTTAAAAATCATAACCATTTCTGAACATCCGAAGAAAAGTTGGATTTTTCCCCATTCCACTCATCTGTTAGATCTGGAAATGGTGGATGTCCGTTTGTGGATATACAGTGTAGTGGTTGAAAGGCTGACCTGTTAACCAAGAAGCTCCCAGTTTGGATATTGCCTCCTTTGGTCTCTGCTTCACCCTCTTCAAAAGAGTGACAGCGATACTGCTCTAGCTTGCAGGGTGGTTGTCAGGGTTGCCGGGAGCATGCCTGCAAAACTCTTTACATGTAATGCCAAGAGGCTTAGCCTAGGTAGTTCCGTGCCAGAAAATTCCTCGTTCAGATCTTGCCTACTGTATCAAACTTGTTAGGTCATCCTTGTGCAAACTTTCCTTGTCCTACCTGTATGCAGTATGAAGAAAATGGTTGTGCTTACCTTACAGGATAGTTGGGAGAATGCATGAGGAAATAAGCCACCTGAAGGGTTTTTAACACTCTTAAAAAGGTCTGTACATATGGCACATTATTGGGGTGGTGGGGTTAAGGTGGGGAGAATGGTGGAAGCAGTCGGAGTGGCACATGAAGGGGTCACAAGGAACATAACTGGCTGTCCCCTATGGATCTGATAACATCTAGATCACTAACAAGTAGAGGTTCTGTGGAATTTCTGGGATCTAGAGACTTCCTGGACATGAAGAAGTTCCTCTGCCAATTTGTGATGGCCTTCCCTTAGGAATAAGAAAGATTCTAGTCCTCGTGATTCTCAGTAAAAGGCTGATGGAGCTAGGAGCCTAGGAAGCTGCCTTAGGATAAGTGGTCCAAACAGGACAAGTGCAACTGGCAGCTTGCAGTATATTCTGCAGCGTGTCTAAAGCTGGGTGGGAAATGTGTGGGCTGCAGCTCCAACCAACCCTGGCCAGGACAGCCATTGCTGAAGGGAGCACTGATCTAACAACATTTGGGAGGGTATGCAGTGAATGGAAGACACGATTACCTTGACAGCCAATGAAGCTGGGGCCAGTGTAAGAGATGGTCCTGGTGGGCTGGGGATGGCATAAGTAATTATTCTAGACAGCACGGGAATTCTGTCAGAAGAATGGGTGGTTCTTTCAGTACTAGAAACACCATCCTGTAGTTTAAGTTGGTGAATGGACTGGTGTCTTATTTTCTGTCCTGGACCTTGCTTTGAGTACAGCCCTCCATTTTTGCTTTCCCAGCATCATTTGAGGAAGCTGGAAAAGTGCTGCCACTGGAATGAGGACCAGGGTCTGTGTTGCCCTTTGTTATGGCAGTGTAAAAATGCCCCGCTTATGGGAGCTCTTCCCTGGGCATAGAGCTGGTGGCCCACTGGATTGGCAGGAGGGAAGGAATCTGCCAGTGGACAGATGGACAGCCTTAAACCATAGTTGCAGAATCTTTTCCTGTTCAAGGGCTGGCAGAGTAGCTCTTGGGGCATGTTCTAGTGATGGCGCTTACAACAAATGGGGCAGGGCCAATGAATCAAAAATGCCTGCTTATTTATAATACTAATAATAATTCAACTTACGCTCTGCTATACTAGTCCGAAGACCCTCTAAACAGATATTATCTAAAATAACAATAATAAAAACAACATACAATAAAGCAGAGAGTGGTCAGATAATAATAAGTTAAAATATATTAAAGCTAAAAACAGTATGAATAACATCCAAATATAAAATCAGTTGTTAAAATGTCTGGAGAAGAGGACTGCTTTTGCCTGGTGCTGAAAAGACTAAAGATGGCGCCAGGCGAACTACTTTCAGAAGGCCATTCCACAAATGCGGGGCAGCCACTGAGAAGCCCCCTCTTCTGTTTGCCATCCTCTTTACCTGCTTAAAGGATGGCTCTCTCAGTAGGGACTGTGTAGATACATATGGGAACAGGTGCTTCTTCAGGTATCCTGCTCCCAAGCTTTTTAGTACTTTTTTGAGTGTGGAGTAACAGGGACAGGAACCCACCTAAAAGTCAGGAAACAGGCAACCGGCAGGGAAGGGAGTGGTGCCTGAATCCATTCCTGAAACTTGGGCAGTTGGCAAAGCTCAGGTGGGACTAGGGTGAGGAAATCTGGATTCTAGTCTGCAGTTGGCCATGAAGTTCCTTGGGCAGCTTAGGCCAGCCCTTGACTCTCACCTCACCTACCCTGCAGGGTTGCTGTGAGGAGGGCTGTTTTTGCTCCCCTGGGTTCCTTGCAAAAGGCAGCATATTAAATTCTGTAGCAGATCAACTCCTAGCCTGCATGACTAGTGGTCAGAAGGATGAGTGTCATAGTCCTGAGGGCCATGGGGGAAGTGAGATGCGCAGACAGGATGGGGCCCTACATCTCTAAAGACGGGGGCTATTTGGGAAGGGGTGGGTGTCTGGCGGTGTTGGATTGGGCGGGAACGTGCTTGGTCTTGCCCGCCTCCCAGTGCCAGTGAGGGAGGAGGAGCTGGGCGGGGTCCTGTCTCATGAAGTCCCGGAGAGCTGGAGGTTGGGAAAGGGTGCACGTCGGCCCACAGGGTGGCCTGAGCAGCC